TAGCAGTATGCTACACTCATTGAGACTAAACTCTCGCGATGATTCCGGCCGCAAGAAAAGGTTGCTAAATTGGAATTATGACCGATTAAGGGTAGTCAGTGATATTGAGATCCTCTAGAACCTGGTTACTATTTTTAGGACAGGTTTTAACCAAATGAACTGAAAGAGGGTAATACCTAAGCTCCATACCAACCTGAAATCTAAGGGCTCTCAGTGTGACTTGTATGCCTTTACCATGTTTGCTTTTTGTGGATACTTGTGGTGTGCCTTTATCATGACATCATAACATTGCATACATCTTGCATAAGGACTAACCTATTTCAAAGACAGGAGGGTTTCATCTTTGCTCTGTTCTGTAGATCATCATGATGCCCATGCGTAAGAATACTATCCGGATCAACTTTGTCCAAGTCCCTACCTTGCTTAAAGAGTTGGTTGCCAAGATGCCTGACACCACTTCCTTCATCAGGAGCCATGGTTCTCTTCTCAGTTTGGTCACCTCCAAAGTGGACGAGCAGATGATGAGTGTCCTGGTCCAATTCTATGATCCGTTGTACCACTGTTTTACTTTCCAGGACTTCCAGCTGGTTCCCACCCTAGAAGAGTTCTCTGAGCTGCTCGGTATCTCTATTTTGGAGCAGACCCCGTTTACTGGTTGGGAGAAGACTCTTAGGCCTGAAGAGATTGCTGAAGCCCTTCATTTGACCAAAGAGGAGGTAATGGCTAACTGGGAGACTAGAAGTGGAGCTAAGGGTTTTCTGACTAAGTTCTTGGTGAGCAAGGTTAACTACTTCTGGGATAGCCTAGACTTTAAGGCCTTTGAGCACATTTTGGCTCTTCTGATTTATGGTCTGGTATTGTTTCGAAATCCTGACACTTTTGTTGATATTAATGCCATAAAGATCTTCATTTCTCAGAACCCGGTACCCACTCTCTTGGGTGACATCCTTCATCAGCTCTATGCTCGTACTTCTCGAAAGCGGGGAACCTTGATGTGTTGTGCTCCTTTATTATCGAGGTGGTTTATTTCGCACCTCCCCAAGTCAGTACTAAAGAACAAAGAAGGAATGGGCTGGGCTTATAGGGTGATGTCTCTTTCTCATAATGACATTATCTGGACTCTCAAAGGTATGGATGAGGTGACTGTCATTGATCACTGTGGAGAGTATCCTAATGTTCCATTGATAGGAACCCATGGAGGAATTTCTTACAACCCGTGCTTAGCTCTTCGTCAGTTTGGAAGGGCTAGAAGAGAAGGGCCTCATGAGATGTTGATGCCTCATATCATCTTTGATTTTCAGGGAGATAGCGACGAGCTACGTCGTAGATTCATCAGGGCTTGGGACAGAGTTCACCAATCAGATCCACGTGAGTTGGGTCCAAAGACTTCTCTGCCAATGGAGCCTTATCTCAGATGGGTCCGCATTCGTGCCCAGAAGCTAGGTATGCCATATGAAGTCGTCCGGCCTGTCACTCTTGAAGTTGCTAATGAAGAAGGGGTTCTTCCAACCATTCTCCATCCTTATATTCCCACTGACATTGGAGCACTAAAGAGGTCTTGGATGCAATTGAGGGATGAACGGGATTCTTACCGAGAGAAGTTCAACAAGCAGGAGCAGAAGATCCAGAAGCTGACTAGGCAACTGGAGAACGAGCGGATCTTGAATGATTATGTGCGCACTGAGAAGAAGAGACCGTGGGAGCATTGATGGACCTTTGATGATTTCCTTTACAGTTTTTATTTACTTTTCAGTATTTCCATTCTTGTAATGCCTTAAGGGCAATTTGTTGAACAATTTAAATTTTGAAGTTTAAATCTAATAAAGTGTGTTTCTTTTCTTGTTTACAAATTTGAATCCCGATTGTCTTTGAAATCATAAATCATACGCATTTCATCCCCATGCACTTCATAAACAGGTACCCTTTACAGGTCTCTTATCTTCTTCGTTGTTTATTTCAGCGATCATCATGTTTACTGAACCTTCAACTGAGCAAGCCATCAAGGCCCTCCAGGCCCAGAATGCCCAATTTCAAGAGTTGTTCATGAATCTAGCCAAAGGTCAGCAGGACCTGAAGACCTTGATTCTGAAAGAGAAGAAGAAGAAGAAGAAGAAGAGGACAGTCATGTTCAGCACAGGGCACGGGTTTGGGAACAGGCTGTAGAATGAAGTTGATCTGACCACCTCATCTGGAGGGAAAGATAGTTCACAAGAAAGGAGGGCTCCTAGCCCTGTGATCTCCGACAACGAGACAGACTACAATGAAGAACAATATCCTCCTGCTGAGGATAAGTACAAACAGCTGGAAGACCGTTTGAGCACTATGAAAATTCAGAAGGTGCCCGGTCTGGACTTCGGAGACCCAGGTCTATCATCTGGGGTGGTGATTCCCCATAAATTCAAGGCACCAGCCTTTGCCAAGTATAACGGAGTTTCCTGTCTGAAGCTGCACCTCCGGTCATATGTGAGGAAGATCCAGCCTTACACTGCTGATAAGAACTTATGGATCCATTTCTTTCAAGACAGTCTCTCAGGGACTCAACTTGAGTGGTTCTATCAGTTGGACGGAGCCAGTATCCTCAGCTGGGAAGATTTGGCTACTGCATTCTACAGGCAGTATCAGTACAAATCTGACCTTGCTCCTACGCGTACCCAACTCTAGGGTATGTCAATAGGAATGGGTGAAGGATTCAAAGATTATGCTCAAAAATGGAGAGACCTTCTCGGAAGGGTGCAACCACCTTTGGCTGATCGGGAGCTTGTTGACATGTTTCTGGGGACCCTGTCTGGTCCATTCTTTAACCATCTGATTGGAAGCTCTTCAGCTGGGTTTACAGATCTTATTTTAACTGGTGAGAGGATTGAAGCTGGTATTAAGGCTGGGAAGATACAGAAGGGTGCTTCATCAAGCACCGAGAAGAAGCTGTTTAAGAAAGAGTCTAGTGTTGTCTACAGTGCAAGAAGACAGAGCAGACCAGAACACCGCCAAACTGTCAATGCGGTTGTTATTTCAAAACCTGCTGGTACTCCTCAGTACAACAATCAACAAAAGGACGAGAGACCTAAGAGGCAATTCACTCGTCTCAGCATGACCTTATCTCAGATTCTGCCACAATTGTTGAAGACTAATCTGGTGACTCAAAGGGAACCCCCAAAGAATTCAAATACAACATCACCAAGGTATAACCCTAACGCCCGCTGCGCTTATCACTCTGATAGCCCGGGTGTAATACCCCAAATTTGTCCTACCCTTTTACTTCCTATCTGGCTTACGCATTTTGCATTTTTCTCACATTTGGTCATCTAACACATCATGCATCATTAATCAATAAATCGGCATAAGATCATGGATTTCGAGGAATAAGGGTTGGTGTATGGCTTTAAGGCTCCCATCTTCGCACAAACTTGTTTCGGTTGATTTCTCCATTAATAATCTGTTTGAAGCTAGGTTTTCATTTCATGGACCTTATCATCGTCAAGCTACGATGCTATTCCTTTCTTCTCAATGTCAAGTTGCAAGGTTTTATGAGACGAAGCTAAAAATCAAGGTTTATACATTTTCATATTTGAGCTTGTCAGCATTCTACCTGAGGTTCATTCCATATCAAGGTATTCACATGTCTCATCTTTCATATTCATCTGCAAAGAATCCCTCAGGGCATAGTCATTATCATCTATTGAGAAGGGGTCCAAGACGTCGTTATTCTAGTGCTCATATAATCGGAACATGGTACAAGATGTTGATTGTGATCAAGGTGTCGTTATTTCAAATGTTTATTGCTTGACACACAAGTTTGGTTTATACTGAGGAATTGAATTGAATTAGGGGTTCACTGAAGCTGTGGTTTGATTAGAATTCATTCATCAATATTTGAAGTGGATTTGGAGTAAATCAAAGTTCTTAAATATTCGCGTGGCTTTTCTTGGAATTCAAACCACAAGTATGGAAAAAACATGCATCAAATTCATCCAACCATCAAAATATTGTCCAAATATCCTCTCTTGGATTCATTCAAGATTCATGTCTCTTTTGATTACCTTGCAAATATTTTGGATTCATACCATTTATTTGAATTCATACAAAGGCCATTTCATTATGTGGAAATAAAGTCAACATACATTACAATTATTCAAATACATACAAGTCCAAATTCCATTACAATTATTCAAATACATACAAATCCAAATTCCATTACAATTATACATAACATCTATACATTTTTACCAAAACCTATCCTAATTTTCAATCATTCTTCATGTTTCAAACTTCAAGCTTCCAAAACTTCATATTATGCGTCTTTGTTCCAACTTCATATCATCTTGGTGTTTTCCTTTTGCCTTTGCTTCCCAATAGCCTTGATATAAACCAAACCTGCAAAATATTGGATAAACTGTCATAAGCATGAACGGCATACACTACACTTCCAATTGTCAAAACCAATTCCGTAACCCAAAAAAATAGAGGCAGCCCTGCACATAACAAACTCTATCAACCCCTAACCAAAATTCCAGCCAACTAACTTCTAACAAAAAAGGAAACTAATAACTAACTCAACAAACTTCAAGTAGAATACAACTGACTTGCAACAGAAAATAACATAAAAAACTTCTAACTTTTCCCTAACTTCTAACAGCATAACTAACCAAAACTGTTATAACAACAAACTGCATCTTAACTTCCAAAAATAGAATTTCTGTTAACCGCCCTGCTAACCTCCTAACTAATTTCTAACATTTCCTAACAAAACTTCCCATTTCCCAAACCATAACAACCTCTCTAACAAATCCTAACCAACTGAACAAACCATCAGCATATAGAGGAGAGAGCTCACAGCATATATATAACCAGAGATGGGCAGAAGAGAGGAGAGGATTCATTATCCAGAAAACAAAAACTCATGGGGAAAAACGAACCTCTAAATTATTATCTGAAACATTCCTCTGCAACTCTCAAGAACATAATTCTTCAAGCATCTTTATCTTCAATCTTCAAGGTTCTCTTCAACCTTCATCATCTTCCTCATCGTATATCAACCTTAAACAAACTTCACTCTCATCTCTCTGATTTCTCTTTACGAATTCATAACCACAACTGCAACAATCTTCATCACCAATTGCTCCTCCTCCAACCTTCATCCTCAGCACCTTGACATCATCATCACCTTCGACAAACAAAAACTTTGACATCAAATTGCAACAACGCAAAACCAGAACCCATAGAGAGACAACACAAAAAGAAGACCGGAAGAAGATTCTCAAACGTGGAAGCTAAAGCATCACATTACCTCTGGTTTTCATGAATTCTTCAACGCTCTGAAGAGCCACCGAATCTACTCCATTCGGTTGTGCATCAGTGTAATGAGGCTGCATCTAGTTGCATCGGAAAAGATGAGTCATATGAAGCTGGAGGTTGAACAAAGATGAAGATGGCGGCTTCGTCCTTAATAATTCGCGAAGGTTGAGCGGAAATCGATCAGAGATGAAACGAAGATGACAATAGCCATGATGGAAATCGATCGGAGATGAAGAAATAATGATAGCCATAGTAGAGATCGCAACGGATCGAAGAAGAAGAGAAGACGGCGGCAGAAAGGGAAGACCGGCGGCGCCGCGTTCGTGAAGGAGAGGAAGAGACATTCTCATTCTAACCCTAAATTCCCTTTCTAATTTTCATATCTTTTCCTTTTTTAGTTTTAATTATTGTACAATTTTATTTTTGTTTTATTATTTTTTTAGTTCAAATTAATAATAAAGAAAACTAAATTGATAATTAAACATATGTTAGAAAAATGAGGAATTAATTAGACTGGGCCTCACTTTTTACATTAGGCTTGTTCATTTTTTTGCCTGAAGCCATTATCTGCAATAAAAATTTCTATTGGATTTTATTTATGAATTGGGCCTAGCACCCTTACTAAGCTACACCCCTGAATTCGGCTTTTCCCCTGATCCTTCTAATTCTTCTTTCTTTTTTATCTTAGTTTTTTCTAGTTTAATTTTTTCTCTCAATTGACAATAAAATGATACAAAATAATAGAATATTTTAGAATAGAATTTCTTTTTAGAATTTCGATTAGAATTTTTTCTATTTTATTTTTCATATTCGATAATCATTTTATTGTCGTTTTCTAGTCGAGACATTTTATAGCGTCGACATAACTCTTGCAATGTGGAATGCTCGGGGTGAATTCTTCAATCACTTGCCCAAGGGAACTTTGACAGAATTTTCTTACCGCTTGCATAATTTTGAAGAGGCAACGGACCTTCTCCGTTCGGTATTGTCGCAAATCTATTTTATTCTTCACTTCCGTACTTTGTCGCAAATCCATATGCATACTAACATCAGGTAGAAATTTCCCCTTTAACCTAAATCTTATGGCTACTAACGCATAATAACATCAGGTTTAGAAATAGGCTAATTCCCCTTTGACTTTTCTTTCTCCTTTCGCATTCGCACTTAAAACAAAAAACTTCTTTTTCTTTCAAAATTCAAAATACTTTAAAATTATTGATTCGAATCATGCTTTTGCTTAGTACGGGAAATGATAAGCGGGTCTCTTCTCGATCTTATTGTTCTTCATCTCAAGCATAGGCGCGGTTCAATTCTCAAAGACTCCTTTTTTGACTAAGTAGAAAAATGGCTAATATCTCTCTCTTGGGGTCGATTAGTCATTATCTGCAACAAAAAATACAAAACAAATTCAAATCTTCTGTGCGTTCGAGCACCTTTTTCTTTTAAACCCTTTTCAGGTAAGGACACGATTAATTTACTTATGTGCCAACGCATAAGTCTCCAAAGGTCGAGCTGCGGCAGAAGGCGGAATTAACTTCGTCCATAAAAAACGCAAACAAACAAAAACATATGAGCCGAACTACGGTAGCTCTGATTCCTCAAAACGGATACGTAGGCATTGGGGTAGGGCCCAAGCGAGCACAATTTTATTTTCCCTACATTCTTTTCTCCTTTCTTTTGCATGCATTTTCCCTCCAGTAGTATAGTAAACAGTAAGCATAGATTAAACACACCCATAAGATAGATAACAAGAGTGGATACCGTAGAGTACTACGGGCGTGTGGGATGCTAATACCTTCCCCTCGCGTAACAGACTCCCTTACCCGATCTCTCGGTCGCAAGGCCGTGACTTCTCCCTCATCAGGTTTTCTCGATGTTTACCTTTCCCCTACATGTGGGATAAAAGACGTTCGATGGCGACTTCATTGTTTTGATGATTTTCAGCCGGTTGTTTCACCGGGGCATAATACAGATGATTGTTGGACTTTGAAGAACAAGATACAAGACTTAATTGATGCAAAGGAGATTGAGGTCGAGGCGCCCGAGAGGCCTAATGTTGTGGCTGCTCCCATGCCCAAACATGGAGTAAATGCTGTAGAGGAAGACTTGTTTGTAGTTTCTGTGGATGACATTGTTACCCCTCTAATGACTGTCAAGAAGAACCTGTTGCTAGTCGGTTTATTTCCGGGCTGTGGCGAAGGTTGCCATATGTGTTCTGTTTTACCTATCGGTTGCCCATTCCTGAGGTCAGGTATCCAAAACCTGATGGATAGTAAAGAGATCCTGTTTGAAAAGACTGTTGTTCCTTCCGTTCATTTTGAAGAAGTTGCCATTATTACCATTTTCGACAATTCTTCCAAGGCTCCCTCGAGGAAGCCTGTTAGAATTACATCTGTTTCGAAGATCGCACCTATAATCATCACTGTTCTGGGGCCCATCCCCTACACCTCTAACAAAGCTGTCCCTTGGCACTATGGGGCAGATGTTTATGTTCATGGAGTTAAGCAAGAGTTGGATGCTGATACCGGCATCAACAACATTACTGAACCTGCTAAAGTCACCCGCAGCGGTATACTTTTCTCACCCGATATTGTTCCACCAACTGTCCGAAGACCTATTGTCATTACACCTGCAAGTGTACCTACTGCCATTCCTGATCAAGTTCCTAGTCCTACCCCTGTCGCCGAGTCATCTAACTCTCGGGGCAAAGGGATCACCACTGATGTGCCTGCCCAGATGGAGGCACCGAAGACAATTATTGTTGAAGCTTCCAAACAAGAGATGGAAGAGATTCTGAAGATTATTAAGAAGAGTGATTACAACGTGGTTGAGCAACTGGGGCAAACCCCATCCAAGATTTCTATGTTGTCACTATGGATGCGCTCATAGGCCCATGCCAAGGCTCTGATCACCTTCCTGAAGACTGCCCACGTGCCACAAGAGACATCAGCTGATCAATTTACCGATTGTGTGGCCAATTTAACTGCTGATAATGGTTTGGGTTTCTCCGAGGCTGATTTGACTACCAAAGGGAAAAATCACAATGATGCCCTGCATGTCTCCATTGAATGCAGGGGCACTACTCTTGCACATGTATTGGTTGATACTGGTTCCTCATTGAACATCTTGCCCAAGAAAGCTCTAGACTGGTTGGATTGCGAAGGGTTAGAGCTAAAACCAAGTAACATCGTTGTCAGGGCCTTTGATGGGTCTAAAAGGATGGTGCACGGTGAAGTTAATATTCCAATTAAAGTTGGTTCTCAGGTCTTTAATTCTACGTTCTATGTGATGGACATTCGACCATCCTACTCTTATTTGCTGGGTCGTCCATGGATCCATAAAGCTGGGGCCGTAACCTCAACGCTCCACCAGAAGATGAAGTACCCGGTCAAAGGGAAGATTGTGACAGTACAGGGAGAGGAGGAGTACATGGTCAGCCACCTCAACTCGTTCAGATACGTAGAGATGGATGGAGAGTTCATTGAGACCCCATTTCAGCACTTTGAAGAGGTTCCCCAGACACTGGCATCAGTCGAGACCGTGGTTGAGGATTCTCCTATGAAGATAGCTTCCTTAAAAGATGCCAGGGCTATTATTGAGAAGGGTGAGTGTACAAATTGGGGCCGACTCCCTGATTTTACACAGAAGACTAACAAGTTTTGTTTGGGTTTCACTGCAGAAGCTCAAAGGGTTATTCGAAGTGCAAGGATTGGAAGACCTCATGTGTTCATCAGCAACTCGGGAGTGAGCGCCATTGAAGATGAGGTGGAAGAGTCTGAATTCGACAGCTGGATCTATCCTACGACCAACGGTGGACCAAGCAACTGGACAGCAAAGGACTTCATCCCTATTACTTTTGTTACCCAGTAATGAACTTTTTGTTTTGAATGTGTAATAGACAATGTTTTGAAACTTTATGGCCCGGTGTCTTACCCGGGGCACTGTGGTTTCATTTGTGAGGGCTTTTGTGTGTCATTTTCATATATCATTAATAAAAGCATTGGACGTTCTTGCATTTCAAATCTTGCGCTCCTTGTATTTCTTTATTATATATTGTGAAACAACTATTTACACACACTCACATATACAGGTCCACATCCACTCTGGATCTCACTGGTAACGACTCTGCTACTGCCAGTTATAACTTCGAAAATCTGATCAACTTAGCCGAAGACAAAGGTGAAGATGATTGCGAAGTGCCTGGTGAACTTGCAAGACTGCTACTCCAGGAAGAGAGGGCCATTCAGCCACATGAAGAGCCAGTGGAAACAGTGAATCTGGGTACCAAGACAGACAAAAAGGAAGTCAAGATCGGTGCAAATCTGGAGCTTAGTGTGAAACAGCGGTTGATTCAGATGTTGCGTGACTACGTTGAGATCTTCGCCTGGTCTTACGAAGATATGCTTGGGTTGGATACTGACATTGTGGTTCATCGTTTACCTACCAAGGAAGACTGTCCCCCAGTGAAACAGAAAGTTCGCTGTATGCTCCCAGAGATGTCTAAGAAAATCAAGGCTGAAGTTATGAAACAATTTGACGCCGGTTTTCTAGCAGTGACTTCTTACCCCCAGTGGGTCGCCAATGTGGTTCCAGTGCCGAAGAAAGATGGTAAGGTCCGAATGTGTGTTGACTACAGGGATTTGAATAGGGCGAGCCCTAAGGATGACTTCCCTCTACCTCACATCGACGTTCTGGTTGATAATACTGCCCAGCATAAGGTATTCTCCTTCATGGATGGTTTCTCCGGTTATAATCAGATAAAAATGGCTCCCGGAGACATGGAGAAGACCACCTTTGTTACTCAGTGGGGTACCTTTTGCTACAAGGTCATGCCTTTTGGACTGAAGAATGTTGGGGTAACATATCAGCGTGCCATGGTTGCTTTGTTTCATGACATGATCCATCATGAGATTGAAGTATACGTCGACGATATGATTGCAAGGTCCCAGACCAAGGAAGAACACCTTGACCATCTCCAGAAGTTGTTTGACAGGTTGAAGTTGTACAAGTTAAGGTTGAACCCGAACAAGTGCACCTTCGGGGTAAGATCTGGTAAGCTACTAGGTTTCATCGTGAG